CCTAAAATAGGACACACCAAGGCTTTGGTATTTGTGGGAGTATTAGAAAAAAAGAAGATGGTAGATTTCTCCAAGTTAACTATTTGACCAGAAGCTTCACAATAGTCCTACAAGATTTTAGCCAACACCTGCAATTTTTCTCGTCTACTTTCATAAAGAAGAGTGCATCATCTACAAAGAAACTATGAGTTAACTCTAGGCAATTTAAACTCATTTTTATGCCTTTCAAACAATTTTGTTCCTAATGCTTAACAATCATACTAGAAAGAAATTTTAAGACTAGGATAAATAAGTAAGGAGATAAGGGATTCCCTTTAATTCTCTACTAGGTTTGATTAAGGCCACTTTAGTCCCAGAGAGACAAAAATTAAGATGGATTGAGCTTACACAATTCATTTTGAGCTTCACCCATTTCCCACAAAAAACAAATTTCAATAGAACATGTTCTAGAAAATCCCATTCTACTCATGTCCATTTTTAAGCAAATTCATACTTCCTACTATCACGCTTCCTTCATAGGCAATGATACACTTCGTGAGCAATGATGATATTATCATGGATTAATCTAACTAAAATAAACACCCCTTGATTGTGAGACACGCACCTATCTAGGAAAGGTTTCATTTGAGTGGCTAGAATTTTTGAGAAGATTTTATAAGAAAGGTTACATAGGCCAATAGGGAGAAATTGAGTAATAAATTCAAGCATATCTACTTTAGGAATCAACATAATGTTAGTTTCATTTAACCTATCTACAATATCTTTACCTCTAAATAGAGACAAGCCGATAAACACTATCCCTAACCTCCGACCAAGAAGATTGATAGAATTTACCTAAGAAGAGCCAAGGCTAAATGCTGCCGTGCAAACTTCTTCTTTGGTAATCGGTAGTAGCAATTGGGCATTGATATCCTCATTTATATAGTTGTCTAGGTGAGTAAGGACCTTATTAAAGGATATGGGTGGAGTAGCTATAAAAAGATTTAATAAATACCAAGTAAAAACATTTGCAATATCCATAGATTCACTTATACTAATCACCTACTCATTTTTAATCTTCGAAATACTATTTTTCAACCTTCTCATGATAGTAGTTAAATGAAAGAAGCGAGAATTACTGTCCCCCACTTGTAGCCAAGACACTCTGAATCTCTGTCTCTTGTACAACTCTTCTAAGTCAATAAGCTTCTCAATTTCAACAATTAACTTCTTTGCTTTTCTATCTTTAAAGAAGTTTGAAGCCCTTGTTTGCAGTCTGCAAGTTGAATTCTGAGTTAGTCAATCAACTTTTTGCTATTGGGGAAGGTTTTTAAGCTCCGTTTAGAAAGAAAGGATCTATAGAGTGAGATCCTGTCCAGGAAAAGATCAAATCAACTAACATGATGATTAGGCAAAAAATTCCATCTACTTCTAATAACATGCATATATGTAGGGTGAGCTAGCTAATAATCTTCAAATTTAAAGGATCGAGGAGTTTTACCAGAATTAAAGTGCAAATCTACTAGTAGTAAGTGATGACCATGGGCTCTATATGGAATACTTGTGTGTTTGGAAAATTTTAACAGTACAAAGTGTTACCCATAGCTCATTCTATCTACTCCCTTCCCATTTCCAACTACCCAAAGTGTTACCTATAAATATTAATCACAGGATGAGATAAATATCTCAGTACCTAAGGAATCCTAACTTCTAACATATATAGGCATAAGCATCAAGGGCATGTAAAGTAGGTAAATTATAATAAAACATTTAAGTATGCATGATCAATTAATTTCTCCATTATCTTCTCCTTATTCCTTTTGACTGAGTCTATAAGCTATAATTTATAATAGGATCATTCGTGTGACCAGACTAACCTAAGCTCTCCAATGTTAGAGGAGTAACCCACTCAAAAATCACCACTCCCTAACTTGAACCATAGACTCCCCTGCTAAATGAATTCTTGCAAGGTGTCATAATTATTATCAGGAATACATACCTAATCCCAAAGTGAGTATTATCGGCTAAGCTGAAACCACACCAAACTCCCATTGGAGTCGATGCCATAGCTATCCAACATTAGGAGCTACCTAAGTGTTGTTTATGCCATGTGGACTTATAATATAATAATTTCTCAACTAGGGTGAACTCCTACCTTTCAATTCTCAATCATGCCATAATGTATCACAATTTCAATCACACACCATAATACAATTTCACATGCCAAGAAATCACAATTTCTAATAAGTATGCTCAATTTTATCCACATGTGCATACTTCATAATTTATATTCAAATAGTTTTCAACCATTCTCATAATTTACAATAAAGCATAGCTTACTTGTTTCACCCATATTATTCAACAAATTAATTTATACCCACTTTACACATTTTCTAAAAAACATCAAAATTGTATCTACACATATAACATACATTTCATAATTTTTGTAATACTGAAAACATTTAAAACATGTATATGAGGAAATTTAGATTCCTGATTACTTCCACCCCTTGAGTCACTTAAAAGGATCACCCATGAATTTAATTTAATTCCAAGCTTCCAAATGCTCTAAAAGCCCAAGAAAAATTAGTCTACAATTAGACAACTCAAAATCATCAGCCTATGGCCAAAATCACCATTTTTCTAACTGCCCATTTTTACTCAAAAATCTCAAAATTCAATTTATTAGATAATATTATTATCTAATAGTTCTATTAGCTTTATTAGACCCTAATGAGTCTAACTAAACCCATTAACTACTAACATAATCCTCACATTACCCATTTCAAACCTAGGGTTTGCTTAAATCAACAAAATTTTTGATAAAATAACCAAATAATCCATACCAACTATCCTAGCAACAAAAATATACTCCCAACATTTCATTTATCTATGTCATCCAAAACTTCCTTCGTTGTCAAAAGCAACCAAAAATTCAAAATTATAGGAAATACCAAATCTCTAACTATCATGAATATGAAAATAAAGTGGATAAATAAACTCAAAAAAATATTTAAAAAATTATCTAGTCTTAGAAAACTTTAAACCATACTAAAAGTATCTTATAATGAAATTTAACCTTAAAAAATTGATATGATTGGTCACTATGGCTTCTCCATACACGACGTCACTCTATTATGTGAAGAAGAAGATGCAGAAAGAGAATGGAAAAATGGAGTGAATTGGTGGGTTTTAATAGTTGGTGGGTATCACACGTTAAAACCTTACATTCCCCTCCCCTTTTCTCTAACACTTCTCTCACCAAACAAGGATCGAAACTTCTCCTCTTCCTTCCCACCCTCTTCCCTAATCATGGCTATTAATTTCATCTGTGGCTGAAAACAATCCCTACTTAATGGAGTGACATTGTTTGGGAAGGCTTCTTATTTTATATTTTTCTCCACAAAAGTGCACTGGAACTTGGTGAAGTAAACAACAAGAAGAGGGAAACTTTGATTGCTGCAGTTTGATCAAACAAGCACCAAAAAGAATTTTCAATCAGAGAAAGGTTTACTTGCGAAGAAACTATTTTGGTATAATCTGGTATTTTTTTGAAATTCATCCTATATATTTTTTTCCGATTAAGGTTTTTTTTTTCTTCTCCTATTGATTTCCATTTTTTTTTCATTCATATTTGCATGTCATTGTTTTTAGCCACATGAATCTATTTTTCCTAAAAGAATGATTACTTTCCAGATTTTCTTATATTATTATTTTTTAATTCATGTTTCTATGTTATTATTATTTTAATTGAAAAAAGCTTTCTTTACTATAAGATTTGTAGCTGGTTATTATACATTCTGCTGCTTATTTTTTTTAAGCTAATGTTTTTCTTTTTATCTTTTGTAGCATTAAGTAATGGATACAAATATGACTCCTACACTTGGTCTTGAATTTGATAATTTAGATGAGACATGGAAATATTAGGTTGATTATGGTGGAACAATAGGATTTAATGTTAGGAAACAAAATGTTAACAGAAGCAAGAAAGACAATAGCATTATATATTACAAATATGTTTGTCCCAAGGAGGGAGTTAGAAAGCTAGATAAATGAGATTTTCAAACTAGGAAGCCTCCACAAGAAACAAGAACAAGGTGTGAAGTGAGAATGATAGTTAAAAAGGTGAAAGGAAAATATAGAGTTAGTAAACTTTTTTGGACCATAATCATCCTTTGGAGTCTCAAGAAACAATTCACATATTATCATCACAAAGGAGATTACCAAAAGCACAAACCTATGCTTTAGAGGATGCTGAAGATGTTGGCATTAAGAATGAAGCCTCTTTCAATTTACTGAGTAAGTATGTAAGAGGGAGGGCTAATTTGAGGTACAATAGAGGCGATGCAAAGAATTATTTACAATCAAGGCGGCAACGAGAGAAGGTCTACAGTGAAGCTAGATGTTTACTTTGTTATTTCCAACAACAATTAATGGAGAATCCTTCATTTTTTTTCTTGCTTACCAAATGGACTCACAAGAATAAATAACTAATTTGTTTTGGGCTGATATAAGTAATGCTTCTTTTGGAAATGTCATTTCATTTGATACAATGTACTTGACAAATTGTGACAATAAACCACTTGCCATTTTTTTAGGTTTCAACCATTATAAAGAAGTGGTAATATTTGGTGCTACTTTATTATATGATGAGATAATTGAATCTTTTAAGTAGCTTTTTGAAACTTTTCTACAAGCACATAAGGAAAATATGCTATTGACTGTGTTTAATGACCGAGACGCTACAATGACATGAACCTTAGAAGAGGTAATGCCATGTGTAAAGCATGGCTAATGCTCATTCCATATTAATAGGAATGGGTGAAATATCTGCCCTAGACTCGGATCTCCTTCTGACAGACGAGGACAAATTTTGGTCTCTCTGGTCTTCACCCCATGGCTATGGATATGATTCTTTAGAGCTCTTACTATTACAAAATGAGAAATTAACAGGGCACCTTTTACATTAATTGGAAGGCAAATGATGCAGAAAGTAAGAACAGTGGCATTTTTGTAATTATTTCCAACTTTTTCCATCAGATCTGAAATTCCCTCATCCAGATTTGTGACTTGCGCGTGATTGGCAGTGTCCACCTGGTCCTATTCGCGTGGTTCATCAAAGCTGAGCTTCTTCTTGTAGCTAAGACCTCATCTTCCAATTCTGTATCGAGCATTTTCAAATTAATGTGCTTACGCCCCATCATAACAGAAGAGATAGTGGAAATCTAAGGGGAAATCTTCATTGAGAAATTAAAAAGTTGTATTGTCAAAAATGAAGAAACTAAGGGCACAGTTGATTTTTGTTCTCATTTTTTGTTTTTAAAAATTGTTTTGTAATACAATTTTTAAAATTATTTTTAAAACAAAATGAAATGAAAATATCCTTTATTATATCAATTAAAAATAATTTTAGAATTAAAAATAAATTGATAGTAATGATTATAGACAATTAATAGTAGTAATTAATAATAAAAATTAATTAAGGTAACTATAATTTTCAACAATCAAATGTAGTGTATTGTAAAAAGAGAAAAATAAAACGAAAACAATTTAAAGTTGTTTCTATTTTTTTAAAAAACAAAAAATAAAAACAGTTTTGGAAACAATTAGATAAAAAAAATTCATCCAAACAAATTTTTAAATTGTTTTGTTTTTTTAAAAAATAGTTTTTAAAAAGGCCTGTTTGTTTTCTATTTTTACTTTTTGTTTTCAAAATTTTTTTGCAATACATTTTTTAAAATTATTTTTAAAAACAAAAAAGAAAATATTTTTATTTGTAATAATTTAAAAATAATTTTAGAATTAAAAAACTGGTTGATAGTAATAGTTACTAATGATTAACAGTGATAACTTATCGTAATAATTGGTCAAAGTAATTCTAGCTTTCAATTATCAAATGTCGGTATTTTTAAAACAATAAAGTCTTGTTTGGTTATTAAAAAGGACTGAAATGAAATGGATTAAAAAAATAAAAATAAAAATAAAAATAAGATGATAAAAAATGATAGGTGAACTACATTCATAAAGGAGAGTGGTAATTAGTTCATGGGGTTGGGAATTACGATGCATGAGATTTTTTGAGGGTATAATAATTTTCACATCTATAATATATATTAATAAGTTTTATTATACTTACCATAAGGGAGAAGAGTGATTGAGTTCATTTTTGTTTTAATTTTTTTAATTAATTCTATTTCATTCATTTCTAGTGACTAAATGAAACCTAAAAATAAAATGAAAACAGGTTTAAGACTTACATAAATAATTTTTAATTTTTTAAAAATAAGAAAAAAACTATTTTTCAAAATAGAAATCAAACAAGCATTAAGAAACTTAAGAAAAATGAGCTGTGTGAATGCGATAGTGTTGGACGAGGAATTGTGGGGCTAAAAGGAATGTTTGCAATTTGCCTAGCAAATAATGCATTGTGGTCAAAAAGTTTGGCCACTTCCTTTCAACTTACTCTACAAATCTATCACGTTCACATCAAATGTCGCAACTCTCATGTGTGTGCTTGTTGTGTGTTCATATAATAAGAGTCTTCTACATTTAATTAAATTACTTATTTCAAATGCAATAAATGGGAGGATAATAGTTTGGTTTCAAAAAAAATTAAATTAATGATAGTTAAGTCTTAGGATTAAAAGGAAATCTCCTAAACTATAAGTCTACAAGTGTTTGAGACTGTAAATTTATTTTTTATATAATGTTTCATTTTAGCTTTTGAAAATAATGTAATGTAACCCTAATCATAACAAAAATTAATTTTAATCATTAATTGATCAAAAAATAATAAAAATAGACAAAAAAATTGTAAAAAAGACCCAAAATTACAAACAAGAATCTAAAAAATTATAGAAATGTATTAAGAAAATTTTTTGGTCAACTAATGATTAAAGTTAATTTTTGTTAATAGTAAGGAGTTACATTTCACCATTTTAAAAAATTGAGTGAGAACATTACACAAAAAATAAATTTAGTTTTCAAAAACTTTTGAACCTATACTTTAGGGGTTAAATTGCTATTTAACTCTAGATCTTTGATATTTTTTTGAAAATTAAATTTAAAATATCAATTTAAATAATTACAAATTTATGAGTTTTATTTCAAATGAGATATTTCAGTTTCAATTTTAACTCTTAAATTACAATTGAAATTTATCTTTGTAAATTATTTGAATCCATACTTGCAATTCATTTTAAAAACTTTTATTGGAATTTAATTATTATTAATTTAAATTTTTGAGACTTAATTATCATTTTTTTCATTATAAATTGTGAACTTTTTAGCTATGTGTTACCATATTTTCAATGCAAATCAATTGTCATTATTCACTCAAATCAATTAAAAATTTCTATTCATCTTTTGGGAAAATTATACTAACTTTTCTGCCAGGGAAAAAATATTTCAATTACCTATATCAATATGAACCCATATTCGTAGTTTTGAAACTTGAAATGGAACTTAATTGGCTGAATTTTTTAATCCTTGTTTTATCAAATGCATAATCATTAGCATTGTGGATGGTTGGATTTTGAATTTCGAAGTCACGCGATATATTATATGGAATAAAACGGGGCAACAAAAAAAAAAATGTGCTGCAATATATGTACCATTCCAAAATCTTAAATTAATTATTTAAAGTTTATATGGAAGATTAATATATAAGAACTCTCCTAAAGTGAAAGCTTAAGAAATTAGAAGGGAAAAAAAATATAACGATCCACCCATCTACTTAAATTAAATTATTATTGCTTGATGGGTTATTTGAAGGATCAAACGACATTATTTTTGTGAGACTTTCTGCATTTAAAAATAGACATTTCAAGTTTTCCATAAAGTCTTAATTTGTCATTTTTGAAAGTCTATGAAATAAATTATAATTTTATAAAATTTATTAAGAAAAATGTGATATTTCCATGAGAAATTAGATGACACGCCGAATCTATGAGACAATAGAACATTTCAATCGCAAAGGGTTCAAAAATAAGGAGTTTGGGTCTACTAGGGCGTGTAGTTTATGTCAATTTAAGCTTATTTTGAAACATTTAATCATTATTAAAGTAAGGTTTTATCTTCAGTTTATTTATATTTTCTTCAAGTTTGATCAGTTAATTTCCTTCCTTTACTTAAATCTGAACTTATGATTGAAAATCTGCGTATGAGTTTAATTTGTAGATGAAATATTGCAAATTAATGAGCTCTTCAACTTAATTTGAGTCACTTGCAAACATATCCTCAATTGTTGAAATAGAAAAAAAGAAATAATACAACTTTTAGTCTCTTAAATTTGTCTTAGATATTAATTTGATCCTTCAAATTTAATTTTTATCAATCTAGTCCCTTAAATTTATTTTGTTTATCAAGTTGGTCCTTAATCTTTAAAAATGAGATTACACTATTAGAATTTGCTGAGACGGATAATAGAATATGGATGGAAGCCATGTAAATTAATGAAAAAATATATATAATCACTTAGGAAAAAAGTAGACTTTGAAATTTAAAAAACAAGAGAATAAAACATCATCTAAGAGATTATATTGATAAAAATTAAATTAATTTGTTCTCATTTAGTTACATATACATGTCAAGTCATCAACATATGTTACATATTAAATTATTTTAAAAGTCAACTTGTATTTTAAAACTTAAAGGACTCACATGATAATTTAAGAAAATATAAGGGATCAAATCGATAAAAGTTAAACTTAAGAGACCAAATCAATAACCGAGGCAAATTTAAGGGACTAAAAATTATATTATTCCTAGAAAAAAATATCAATGAATTATTGCATTTTAGTATTCGGCTCCATTGCAAATCAGCTTTTTTGTATGGAAATATATATATATATATATATATATGAGAGAATAGTGGTAGGAATGAATCCTTTCCAGCTGTAAGAATATAAATGGAGAGAAATGTATTTCGGCAGGCCTCACTTGATATGTTGGGCACACTAAACTCATCTCTCGTTTTTTCTCTTGAGCTAGAATCTAGATCTATTTAAGGAGGATCCAAATTCAAAGATGATTATTATTATTTGATTTGGAATATATCCAATACAATGATCTGCAACTAGTTTCACCTTCTCATCAAATGATGTCAATCTTCAAACCCTTCTAATTGTCCATCCTCAAGTTAGATGCCTCAAGTTTGCCCCTCAAATTAACATAAAACGTTTATTGAAGGCCTTTCCTCTGTAGATAGAGAGAGATTCTTGGTCCAAAATTTGGGGGATGTGATTTGATTGCAGACACACATGATCATATTGCTCAAAATCCGAAAGAGTAAATAGCTTATGAGAGCACTTTTCTAGTTTCAGAGGCTCCAAAAAGTGTCAGTAAACCGCTCAAAGTTGAAAAACAGGTACTGTAAAATTCTATGCAACTCAAGTTCCATGCCTCAAAGTTTGATCACAAATGAACACAAAAAAATTGGATTGAAGAACTTTTCTGCGCAGCTAGAGATTTCTGGAGCAAATTTTGCTAATCTCAGGTGACACTAACTCAACAGATTGGTCAAAATTTTAGGCCAATAGCTTATGGGACTTTATATATATTTTTCTGGTTTGAAAGTCAAATTTGAAGGGGCAATTTCAAATATAAAAAGGGAAAAAGAAAGAGAGAAGAGATAAAGGGAATGAAGAAGCTGTGATTTGGATTCTGAATTAGCTAGTTAATTACCTCTAGCACATGTTGTGATTACCTCACAGCCTCTGTGATATGGATTTGCTGGTTTGGCATGGCAATTATAGTATGAAGCTCCAGGTCTGTCACAAGGAACCATGTCTCTTCTGAGAGTCCCATAACTGATATACTTCTTCTGCATTGCCAGAATTCTCCTATTGCTCTCAGAATCCATCATCTTTGTCTCTCTGTCTCCAAAGCTCAAGCACTCTCCAATGCTTCCTGTGCATACCCTACTTTTGGTTATTATGTCAGATACTTCACTTTGCTTTAGAGAATTGAGGTCCATAAGAGGCAAGCCATGGCAGATTGGGAGAACAAGTAACAGATAAAGGAAGAATGAGATGAAGAAGAAGAATCTGGTTTGGGACATTCTGTGTTTTTTTGGTGCTTTCTTGTTTTCAGATTTTGGTTTTTTGAAGATTTTGTTGCTGTTTGTGATGGGAAAGGTAGAAACTTTGGTTATTTGTTTGGAAGGTACCTCAGAAGTATTTATATCAACAAAGTTGAACAATAAATCTTATAAATTCATAAGTTTAATAGAAATTTGACAAAATTTTAATAATAAAAACTAAAGAATATAATTAGTCACTAGACTAAGTCAAGTGGTAAGAGTGGAATGTTATGTAGGTAGAAATCAAAGTTCAAAACCCAATTTATATTAAAAAGAAAAAAGAAACTACATAATTAAAAAAATGAAAAATCAATTATTTAATTATAATTTAGTCTCTAAAATTTAACTTGTTCAACTTAGTACTTCAAGCTTCAACCCTTTAATCATTATTTGTCCTTATACATTTTTTTTAAAGAAAAATCAACTAGCCATTCAGAGAATTGAGTTGTAATGGTGTTAAAAATACAAGAGTTAAATGATTAATTTTGCAAAAATTATTAACCAAAATTTTTTTATTACAGATTATTATTTTCTGATAACTAAATTAAAATATAATAAAATCATACATTTTTAAACTATTTTGAAATTATTTTACTCTACTTTACATGTGATTCTTTTAATTTAACTTTGACCATTATTTAAATTTGTTTTATAAAACATATAATTATAGTGGAAGTCTCTCTTGGTTATGATTAAGATACTGAAGAGAAATGGACTATTAGTGGGATATTGCTGGTGAGGAAGTGTGGAGTAAAAGGAATGTATAGTTGCAATTTGCCTAACAAATTGTAGTTTTTGTCAAAAAAGTTTGGCCACTTTCTTTCAACTTACTCTATCTTCTAATCATGACATTCACATCTTGGTCCCAACAAAAATCATGACATTCACATCAAATGTCACAAACGTGTGTTTGTAATGTCATTGCAGAATAATAATCTTCTATTTATTTTTAAAAAAAAAGCATAGTATAAATATTACTTATTTCAAAAGTAAGGAAAAAATTTGTGGACATTTTATCTATAAGGTAAAGTTTTCAACACAAATCATTTTTTAAAAATCTACCTCATTTATATATATATGTAGACACACACACACACTAAGATATCAAATTCATCAAAGTCATGTATAAATTCTTTGCAATTAGGCCTAAATAGAAAAGTGTAAAGTTCGTATGTCAAATACATAATCATTAGGGTTTAGAACAACATCAAGGACATCTGAATTTTGCTGTTGTAGGATGTGTTTGGTATGAAATGGGAGGTAATGAAAAAAATGAATTTATTTAATTTATATAATATCTATTGTATTATTATCATTATTTAAAGATATTCGTTTCATTTTATTATTTATTTTTTAAGGATATTTTATGTAGATTCATTTTCTTTTTCTTTTTTGACAAAATGTAGATTCATTTTCATTGACATCATCTTGCCCTGTCTCTCTATATATACGTATTACGTAGTAATAATATGTGGACCAATCATAATATTAACTTTAGGGTAAAAGGTAAAAGAAAAGGCCATCAAGCAAACTTGGGCCCAACAAAATACAGTTCCATCAAAAAGGACAGATCAAGGATGAGTTGATGTCCATTTATGATAGAAAGGGAGGCAATCCAAAGATTTTTTTTTTTTATTGTATACAAATATTTTCTCAAAGACAATTTTATTTGAGACATTATTAAATATTAAATATTAAGAGCTTTTAAAGTGTGGATTCAAATATTAATTTATCATATTGAGAAAAACTAGCCTCTTTTACTAAATTTAGTTCTCATTTGTTCCAAAGAACTCTTATATATATATATATATATATATAAGCCAAATATTTGCACAAACTTAATTAATAAGATGCGTGATAATGACCAAAATATGAATTAAGAAACTAGAATGTAAACCCGTAATTCGCACAACAAATAAGGTAGATTATGATGTTTATAGCCTATAGACTTGTTTGTTTAAAATTAAAAAAGAAATCACTCTTAAATAGTTTGAAAGTTTTATAAAAAGATTTTTATTTTATAAAGATTTTATAAAAATTTAAAACTAGTTTATGTTTGGTTAAAATAATATAAATCAATATCTATTTAGTTATTTTAAAATTTTATGATATTTTTTGAATCAATATTCATAAATTATGATTTATTATTGAGTTATTTTAAAATTTTATATTATCTTATATATTTGTATTTGTATAACATTCTCTTTCATATGTTGTATTTGATTATTTTCATAAATTATTTAAAATAATTTTTTAAAACAATCAAATATTTATTGTTTTAGATTCTGATTATTTTTAAAAATTTAAATAAACATTATAAATTTTTATAAAATAATTTTAAAAAATAAATGTTTTTTATGAAAAGAAAAAAAGCTTAAAATAAATTGGCCAAGAACTAGGTCCCTCTACTTCTCACAGCAAAGAAACCTAATATATATATATATATATATATGCAACTCGTGGCTCTACTCTCCTCCTCCCACGTGCTTTTCTCTCATTCTTTTCTTTGTTCGTCTCTCTCTCTCTCACCATGCTTCTCTTTCATCTCGTAATAATTTATGATTCTGCACAAATTTGAGGCTAAGGAGCTCAAAAACCCCTACAAAGAGAATAAAGAAGATGGAGATGAATAGGCCAATGAGCGTTAGCTGAAGCTAAGTGTGGCCTCATCTATTACCAATAAGTTCAAAGGCAGTGGGGATAATGTAGAGAGAAGCCTAAGGGATTTGGAAGGAGGCTAGAGTTGCCAACGCAATGGCCATTGCCACTGTTAGAATGCCAGACCCCAACCTAATCCCCAGTGGGAGAAGATCCTCTCCTTTTCCCTTCCCATTCTCTTCCATTTTTTCCCCTTACAAGTCATTAATCAAGATTTAAATGGTTCAAATTCTATCTCCTATAAAATTAATATTAAAATGTTAAATTATTAAAAAATATAAATAATAAAAATCAAACTAGTAAAATTTAATACAAATAACCAAAAAATGTAGTAAAAATAAAATGAAATGAAATATTTTATAGGACATTAAATTTGAATTATCCAAATCAAGATCAAATGATTAAAAATTAAGAAGAGGAGGAGAAGAGGATGGGAAGGAAAAGGAGAGGATCATCTCCCATCTCGAGCTACCCAACACAGAAGTAGTGGTGATGAGAGCATCGATGTTGGTGAAGAAGTAGAACCAACTGAAGGAGTCATTCTTCTCCCTCTCAACATCATCATCATTGTTAAAATAGTGAGCTCTATAAGGAGTGACCTTGGCACTTTTGCATTTAAAAAGAGTGGGAGAGGCGAGATTGGAAAAATATTTGGTGGAATGTTCTTCAATTCTACATCATTCTTTGTCAGTGTACATAAATGGCATTGGGAAAATGACAATTTAGTCCCAAAGGGACTAACTAAATCTAGTCAAGTCCTAAAAAATTCTAAGAGATCAATGAAGTCCCATGCTTGTTTTTCACAAATCTGAGTTATAGTGGAAAGACTAAAATACTCCTATGATTAAATATAACATTAACACTCATTATATCAGCTCCAACATTTTTCTCTCAAGCAAATATGAATATGAGTGCTAATATAAACATGATTTGAATGGAAATGCAAAGCAGGATGTTCATCTGAGAATTTACATGCTACACAGGATCTTGAAGTTCTACCATGTGCAATACAAAGTATCCCAACAGCAATGCCTGCACTAAATGCAACAAAATGGAAGGATTTGTTAGTAGGACCTGAGCAGATTTTTGTGAGTATTGATGATTGTAGACAAGTAATCTACAAGTATAGTATTGTATATAGGTTTGAATATAAATTTGTGAAAAATAATAAAAATAAATAATTGCAGAATACAAGGTAAAAGAAAGTCTATGGAAGATAACAACATGTTCATTAAGGAAGTCAATGCCCTTGCTTCGTGTAACAACTTTCAAGAATGAGCACTTACACTCTGCCTAAGAAGACCTTAAAGTTTCTTACAGTACAAGGTGCACATTGACATCATCTATAATTGATGATGTAGTCAGGTCTAATGTGGAAAAAAGATCCAATGAAATCAAAGCTGACATATATAGAGACTATGGCATAAGTCTAACTTATCATCAAGCCTTAAGAGCAAAAGAAAAGGCATTGGTGGAAATAAATGGGCTTCCTGACCAATCATATATGCTTGTTCCTTGGTTGTGTAATAGACCAATAGAGACTGATGATGATATCATAGGAAAATGGGAGGCTTCTGAGAACAATAGATTTGAATGAATATTTATTGCATATGGTTGTTCCATTAAAGGATTCTTGCTTGGGGCTAGACCTATTTTATATGTGGATGGATGTTTCCTCAATAGTCCTTATCAGGTCACCTTACTAGCAACTTCAACATATGATGCCGATGATGAGTTATTTCCATTGGCCTTTGCAATAGTTGGTAGTGAAACTCATGATGATTGGACTTAATTTTTGCACAATATTAAAGATATCATTGGTTCACTATAGGTAACTATTGTTTCTCATAGAAATAATGCTATTGTTAGTGCTATTAGAGCTATATTTGGTGGCAATAGACATGTATTATGCTATCGGCATGTAAAAGAGAATTTTAGCTTTGAGTTTAACAAATTCTATAGGGGAATAGGAAGGAATAGCAAGGAAAAGGTACTAAAGTTACTTGATCATATTGCCTATGCAAGGCATGAGCATGTATTTCATAGAGCCATGGAAAATTTGAGGATATTCTCTCCATAATTAATAAAATGGGTTAAAAATCAAGGTAATGTTGATCAATGGGCATTATTATTATTCCCATTTTAAAGATGAGATAAGATAACAACCAACTTGGCTAAATCATTCAATGCATGGATACTTGAGGAGAGGAGGCATAATATATGTGTTCTTATAAACAAGCATAGAGACAAGTTAAGCAAGAAATTTTTTGCAAGTAAGACAGCAATGAGTAAGTGAAAAAGCATAGTTGATCCAAATGTTGAAGCAAAGTTGAAGGAAAATATTTTGAGGGCAGAAGTTATAATTGTTCAGTTGCATGACTCATATTTTATTAGTTCGGACACTATGTAGA